CTCCAAACTGAGCTAAATTTTCATGATACTGTCAGCTTGATGCAAATCTGCATTGACACAGATGAGCGGTCCCTTAAGTATATGGACAACACTAAGGATTCTGTCTCAGTTTTCCAGTTAACCGTGATCTTGAGAAGTCGTGGAGATTGGTTTGGACTGAAATCAGTTTTTCGATCTACTCTTCACGGGCTATGAACGACAGCTCCTGCTACTGCTGTGCTATGTAACTTATGTGTGACGGGTTTACTGAGACGAGATTCGTGTTCAAATTCGGACTCTGAGTTTGATTTGCTCAAACATTCCACCTCATGAAAATTAACCCACCTATAGGAGAAGAGAGGTTATGAGTTCCTTCCGTGATGCGTCGGTTCTTCATCTTCTCTCAGTCACAGGTGTCTTCAAAAGTAGATTGACGAACTCCAAAACAGCTTATCCTAAAATATCATACTTAGAGGGGATTGCTTACGAAAATACTGAAGTGATATGTGAACTGTTTAGCCAACACATCGCCAGATTATACACCTTAGAGAACGATGAGGTCGTGGATTTCTCAGGTAAAACAGGCGAATGTTTAAGTGACATACTTTTCAGCACACATGAGATCGATAAAGCTGTCGCAAATCTTAAGCTTAGTAACACTATTGGTCTAGATGGTATACATTCCATTCTGCTGAAAAACGGTGGTAATGACATGAATTTACTCCTACTCAAGTTATATTCAATTTCACTAAGCGATGAGATACCCTACCTGCTGGAAGAAGTCTTATGTTGTACCAATCCATGAATACAGGCCTATAGCTGATATCAACAACTACCGCTCAATCAGCATCACGTCTGTAGTTTCACGTGTAATGGAAAAGATGGTAAGGACTCAAATCATTCAGTACTTGCTGTCAAACGACCTACTATGCCCATTTAATACGGTTTCTTAAGTAGGAGGTCGTGCAATACTTGCTACCTAGATTATTTTGACTACATTACACAATTCTTTGATAATGGGCGTTCGGTAACAACATTATTTCTCGACGTTAGCAAGGCCTTCGATAAAGTCCCACATATCAGACTCATAACAAAACTCCAATCCTACGGAATAACCGGAAAACTTCTCAAATGGATAAATTCTTTTCTCACAGAAAGAGAGCAATTAGTCAAAATCAACCACTAGCTGTCTTCATCAAAGCCGATAACTAGTGGTGTAATACAGGGTAGCGTTCTTGGCCTTATTCTATTCCTCTTATTTATAAATGATATAGTCTCTGTGATCAAGTATGACAAGCCATACCTCTTTGCAGATGATTTCAAGATAGTCTATGATTACGGGTACGATGATAAGAGCGTCGAAAGCAAAATCCAACATGACTTAAACAATCTAGGCGATTGGAGCGAAAAGTGGCAACTGACAAGTGAGGTATAGCCCACCTTGGACGCTGGAAGCCGAGAACGTGTCTATATATGTACGGTAAGCTCCTCTCGAAACTGAACACTGTCACAGATCTCGGGATAACATACTCAGATCTAACCCTTACCGATCATGCAAATAAGGTTGTATCTGACTGCAAACGACTTATTGGCTTTGTACTGCGTAACTTTTACACCCAAGAAGAGAGATCAGCTATACATAAGACATGAATCCGTCCCAAACTTGAATATTGTGCTCTCCCGTATAGTAACTTAAGGTCTGAAGACCGAAAAAAATCGAAAGTGTTCAGAGATTCCTAACGAAACGCATAATAGGGTTTGACCAACAAATGGAATAAGTTGACAGGTGTATGCGTCTGAATTTAGAGCCTCTGTGGTTAGGGAGATTGAAGTGCAACTTATTTCTACTCTTCAATGTCATTAAGAAACATTGTTATAGTAACTCATCCATAACGTGGGAAAATATTAAATCATATCAGCTGCAAAACCACGACTACCCTGTCATGGAGGCTACCCACAGAAAATCGATTGGGGCAAACTTTTTCACCATTAAATATTGCACTCTTTGGAACCAACTACCATCTGAAATTAGATGTTGTGAAAACCCCGATGGGTTCAAACGGAGCCTAGAAAGACACATTAACATGTACACCCAAGCTTGTCTAAAAGACCACAAATGTTGGTAAAATGGTAAATGAAAGCCGGTCCAGTCTTCAGCTTAGTAAGTTACATGTAACTCGACTCTACTACTTACGCAGCGAACGTCTAACTAATTTACTGATTTTGCTTTCTGTATAGTATCATGGATTTGAAAGTTGTTGCTAGACTAGAAGTGCTCACTGCTCTCAGCACTGTATTCTAAGAATTGTTTTTAGTTGCAGTCGTCAGTGGCAGAAATACCCAAACATTTGCAACTTGGAAATCATAAGCACAAATATATGTTTTGTCGAATGAAGTTAATTAGTGCTTTCGAAACCGGAGAAACAGTCCTGAAGCAACTATAGTTGCCTCAGACAGAACAACGATTTCTTCAGGACTTCTGCAGATCACTCTTACCGGGAGCAATTGACACAGCCATCCAGTCTACTGGACAATTTAAGGGGATCTTCTGCCATACTGTTCACTAGCACTCATAATCAGAATGACCTCAGTTCAACAACTAATTCATCCAGTCTCCTTTACAGGCAAATTCAAAAGCAGTTGTGCAGCTTGACGTCACACTACCTGCATACATAAATCTGAATCGGTTTACATGGAACTGCAGGCGTTTCCATCAAACCGTTCGCCTGTGATCCAACCATGGTAATAAAATGAAGTGTAATTTTATCATCCCTAATATACTAAGACAGACACATCAAAACATTTGGCATAATCGGCAAAACGTTCACAGGAAATTTTCCAATGAGTAATAATTCCCTAGAGGTTCCAAAGTATGACATTTTTAAAAATATGAGTTGACGGAAGACCACTAAAGATGGCAACACGGAGGGGAAAGAGGTCAGAAATTTGTATTCGTATTATTTGTGCTGTGGGTAGACGACAAAAACAAGCTAATAAAAACGAACAAGCACATTGCACTAATAGTGGTTGGCTAATATATGTACACATATATATTCCCTAACTCGGCTTCACTACAAGCAGTATTGGAACCAGACAGGCAATTCAAAAACTTGCTATTCAACCATCAACAAATAAATTTAAGTTAATTATTGATACAAATAGTTAATGGTGTAACTCACAGTTAGTTACTGTCATAAGGTCTGCGAGTAAAATCGAACATAACACACATCGACATTGCACCAATCTTCTGTAGACCACAAGGAGAAAGGACTGCGGAGGAAATTCCTACCTTCAACAAATGGGAAACTACTTCGAATGAAAAGGGCATGAGATGTCGATTTAGTCCTCATCAGCACTGGTATGTTTCGGAAAGAGATTTCTGCTCGAAATCTCATTGAAACCAAAGTTTGATGTTGAGGTCTTCCACAGAATTTTTTATTGGTAGTAATTTTTCCAGTGAAAAAATTAAGTAGTGTTGATGGCGTCTAGGAGACAATAAACCTACATTACCACAATTCAATGATATAACAATAGAACTTGTGCACTATGGTAGGGTATAATTCCATTACGGGTAAAATTTATTTTGATAAATATTACTATTTAATACTGTGAAACTTTATCAAAATAAATTTTACCCGTAATGGGATTACCACAGTTCAAGGCTACAGTTTTATCGGAATCAGTGAAACAGGGAACCGAAAATATTTCGCAAAAGCATTTCGCTAAATATTAACATTAAAACGCCTATGTAAGAGTAACTTTGTGGAGAATAGCTACGAACCAGGTGTCTCTTTAAGAACAATGAAGAGGAAATCACAATCAAACGTCAGCTCATGAAAATAAGCTCCCTTTTCAAAGTTCGCACAGGGTATAAACATCCAAATTCGTTTTTACTAGCTCCTACAAACCGAAATGACTTCTTTGTGCCCACATCGTAGTCTTTGGCAAACTTCTGAGCAGTTTTTCCCACTAGCTGACTGAATTCGATTTGGTTGACTTTAAAAGGAGTGGTGCTGGGACCGATTACATATGGTTTTTAGTATGAGTTTTGTTAAGACCGTGTCACTGCTGTGGATGGAGTTGATTTTTTCACCCGTTAGTTTTTTGGTGTGGTCGAAAAGAGAGATGACAGTAATAATAGGTATAATTGGCGCAGATTATGTAGAATTAAAAAGAAAAATATCGTAATATCAGCTAGTAAGATCTGAAATTTTCTTATATACCAGAAATACTAGTATACTAGTATAATACTAGTACTAGTATAGATGGAGTAGTCAGAAGAATAAAACAAGGGAGAATGTGAGTGCTTAGTAAATAATAGTGTGTGCACATAAAGGGGATAGGCCTTTTGGACTTATAAATTTTCTACACTTAACTCAGGTTTGGCAGCACTCACCACACAGTGGATTTTAATACAGAAGACAGATTTTAGTAAGCATCAAATCTGTCAATGAATGGCTAAACTTTCATAGAACATTTATAACACCACTAACACAATAAACATTTCTGGCGACCCTACTTGTACGGCTGGATTAATACAAATACAAAAGATTTAGAAGTGGCTAACGATCATTTCATTATATCTGAATAATTGCTTGATGTTTGAAGTACCGGCAGCAGGAAGACTTTCAAAGTTTCTTTAAGTTAGCTTTTGATTATGGCACAACTTCAACGTACCTGATGTGCGCTGAATTCAATTTTCTGAATCACAAGTATGACAGAATCTATTGCTGGCTCCACTGGTAGTCTCGTCGAGACACCCATCCAATGGCCGATGACGAAATCTTCATATGAGTTCGGAAAATCTATTGGTTTGTCTCTTTGTTTTTCTGACAAATTCAGGCCAGGGAGCTACTTCTATTGTGTTTGAAGCCTTTTGCCCCTCAAATGGAAAAAAGTGTGCCATTAAGATAATCAACCTTGAAAAATGTAGCACCTCCGCTTCTTTAGAAGAAATAAATGTATGTTACAATTACGCTTGTACAACGTTGAATTAGAGGGAAATAAAGTCTATGAAAAACATGAAAAATGAAAACATAGTGGCCTACTATGCTTCTTTTGTTGCACAAACAGAACTATGTATTATCATGGATTTATGCCAAAGAGGTATGTTAGATTTTTTACACAAAGTATACATATAGTTGTATGATTTCTAAAGTCGGGATTTTACTGTATTGGTTAGTAGGATTTGTCTTACCACGGAAACAGTCAATTTTTCTTTGTCCGTGCTGATAGGCCTCTTGAATTAGTCTCACTTTCGCCTGTTTTTTTTTACATTTTTCACCTGTAAACTGAAGGTCATTTTGCAGTGTGTAGTGCTTAATATTTTTCAGCTGTTACTTTTTCTTATACAGGAGTGTAGATACTATTTCTTGGTTTGAACTTTCTAAATATTTATATCCTTGTAACTTGATTCATGTAATCTCAGAAACTGCTGTCATATTTTAAACAAAGCAGCTTAGGTATACCCTTTTGACTGTTTTGTTACTATTATCCCTGATGGTCTCTGTTTATCAGTCATTTGCAACTGAATATATAGAAAGGGAATGTTTTTACTAGTCCAAAAACGTATAATAGTGCACGTTTGTGTGATGCTCACCTCGATTTCCTTTATTTTATTCGGCTGCCCACCATTATTTAGAGTTCTGCTTCGTTATAGGTTGTTAGATAGTTGCTTCTAAAAAACTCATAGGGGAATGTCTAAAAGATAGTGCATTTGACTGATCAACTGGTTTTCTATTGACTGACGGCCGTCATAGTATTTTTCAGTTTAATTTATTTCGTTTATCAGCCTCTTTCTTGCCGATCATTATTAATTTTTCATTAGTTTGTTTACGACCACTAAAAATGTGAATAGATGGGCTGATCTAGATTAGTAATGACCGTGTAGAAGTTCATTATTGATATTTGCTGAGGGTATCTAGTGACTGAGTGTTCAGTCATCGGTACTTGTATCTGGTTGCATCATGTAAATAATTCCGAGGTCCCGTAGCGTGTATTTGGACACGGATCGTTTTGAATTAGGCGTTGTCATCTCGGAACACTGACTTTGGTGGTTTGAACACATACCATTAATGTCATCCCAGCGTCTTCTATATCGCTCGCCGTTTCTTAGCTTTGAGACTGGGTGGAAAAAAAGCGGAATGGCAGGCAGTGTATGATGTAGTGCCGTGAAGTGAATGGTAGTTGTGTTAGGTTATCATCTGTTGGTACATCATGACTCCACGAATAGGGTCTAAAATAATCTGAGTCAGTGTCTCATGACGTTATTAGATATAAGTAAAAATCGTAATTAGTAACGAATGCTGCAATTTCATCCTTTCTTTCCTTTCTGAAAGCAATATGTGGTCATAAACCATCCTTTGAATGTTCCTGGCAAGTATGCTTACTTGTTTTCCGTACGTTGTTCATCGTTTACTGGCATAAGTATTTTCTTTAAATGCTTGCTCTACTATTTGTGTAGTAATTGTCTTGGTGTCATTTACGCGTAACGTATTTGAAGCGGATCAATTTTGTTCTGCTACGAGAATTGGTTCATGGGTGTTTGACAATGCTATTTTATTGAGCGAAATAAGTCTTTCTTCCTGGTAGATAAGAGTGAATCACTTTAACTTCATTTTAATAAATTACTGCATAGATACACTATCCAAACAAGGAGGATAAGATGAGGAGTAACATAGCCACTTATCTATGACATTTTATTGTGTGCATTCATTTTCAACACACATTTTGGAAATAAGGCCACAGATTCAAACACATATCGAATAGTATTACACACATTATTATTATTATTGTTTCCTCTAATTCCTAAAGGAACATAGGGCTTAAGCCGTGCGTCTCCATTGCCTTCAGTTCTCTGCTAGAGTCTTCACCTAGCTCCAAGTCTTCCCACGCGTTTTCATCTCTTCACATGACCTCCTCCAAGTCACCCCACCTTCACACTGACGACCAACTCGCCACTTCCCTTTCGGGTTCCCCTCGAGCGATGGCTTGTCTAGTGATGTCACTTGATGGTTTGTTTCCTCAGAGTATGGCCAGCCAATCCATCTCCATTTCTTCCTGCCTATTTGTTTCACAATCGGTTCCTGTTTGGTTGGTTCGCCCATTGCCAGAGATCTCTGATGCTGATCTTTTCTCGCCGGCTGGCCATCTGATCTTGAGTATTGAGCGAAGACAACTATCTGTTTTTTGAAGGTCTGTAGTTTGTTTGAGATGCTCTTTATGACGCGCAGTGCAAGTCTCTGATCCGAATAGTAAGTTGCACTTACTTCACATTGAAGTTGAAAATCTGGATCTTATTTTTGATGCTGAGCAGTGCTGTTGACCTCCACACAGACTTGAGAGTAGTGAAAGCTTGTCTTGCTTTTCCGATTCTTGCTTTGATATCCTCGTCAGTTCCGTCCGCCTGTAGTTGAAACGATACTTCCCAGGTAGGTGCTAGAGGAGGTTGTTTCAGGTTCCTCCCATTTATGCTGATTGTTGTCTGTTGTTGTCGTGTTTGTTGCTGTTGGTGGTGTTACCCAGGAATCTTCATCACCTCTGTTTTCTGTATGTTCATCTGAAGGAAGTCCTATCTTCTCTGGAGGCTTCTTCTGCCAACTTGTTGCTTTTTGCTTGCATATCTTCCAGTTTGTGGGAAATCAGACATATATCATCGGTGAAGTCCAGATCCTCCAAGTTTTTTTTGTGTGAGTCCATTTTATGCCTGTTTCCTCATTGCCCACTGTCTGTCGCATTATCCAATCTACTGCAATCAGGAAAATCATTGGCAATAGTAGGCAGCCTTGTCTTACTCCTGTCCTCACTTCGAAGGATTCCGTAAGTTTCCTGTTGTGGATTACTTGGCATGCAGCATTGTCGTATAGCTGTTGGATGAGATGTATAATTGTCGGTGGCACCCCTTGGTAGTAGCGAAGTAGTTTCCAAATCACCTCTCGATCGACGCTACGCTGTCGTAGGCCTTTTCAAATTCGATGAAGTTGAGATAGAGTTACACATCATTAAATCGTATAATCTTTGACACTTGCTTCCAGAGATTCATAAGTTATTAATGAGTTTTAACCACTGTTCACTACTTAAATCCAACTCAAAGATTTATCATTGTACCGACTTCTACAACCTATTTCAGGGCTATGAGATACCCTGAAAAACGAAGCGGCATTTTAGCCTAATCTCTAGCTAGTTTAAAACCACAACTGTAGAACAGGTTGCTTATCGGTTTAGTTAACGAAATGTTAACCAGTAGATCATAGATTTTAAATACTGGTAAACTGTTTATGTTTGGTTATCCATAACACACTGGACCTAATTGATTTCCATGCACACAAGCATGTACAATAATGCTGAGTTTCAGTTGTTTGGATGCCTTTGTTCATCAGTTTTTAAATACTTTTATTCCTTTATGTTCCCAGTGGAGGATAAGGCTTCGGGCTTAAGGTTTGAAGTTTCACTGGCACTAGTGTTTAATTTTTACGGAATAGGGTTGGTAGCCTTATACTCAACCTTCCCTCTTGACCCAGCTTACCTACCGGCTAAGCGAGATAATGGAGTGCGTTGATCGGGGATCGAACATCGAACCACGTGCGGTGTGCTTGGAGAGTATTCTCGGTCGGTTTTCGACATAGAAGTTTGCACATATGTGCGGCAGTTCAAGTCGCCACACTCCATGTAGCACACAAAGCAAGAGAAGAAAGTAGAAGAGATGCATAATATAGATAGTAAACAGAGGTGTGAGACAAAGGTATAGTAATAGCGAAGAAAAAAACAGTTTAATTGGAAATCATAAGTCACAAGGAGTGGATGCATCTGCGCCAGTCATTGAGAACGAGGATTTTGAGCCATGTCACCAATTGTTTCCAACCATTGGATGCATAACACGTGTCCCACTGTCTCCATTTCTGTTTAATTTCATCATAGATGTACTAATGAAAATGGCCATAACTGCTGACTTCAGCGACTCAGGAATTGACATGTTACCAGGGAATAATAGTCTTGTTGACTTAGAATATACATGCGGATGATATAGTCCTTCTAGGTGATGACGCTGACAAAATAGAACAGAGTCTTCTGAGCACCTTTATCAGGAAGCAATTTTCGAATGTTTGGCATGCGGTTCGGTCTTGCTGTTAAATGTAAGATGTTGCTACAGGACTGGACTACATCAACCCACGCCTAGCTTAAAGATAGGCAGGAGTGAAGTGGTGGCCGAGCATGTTGACCACTTCACTTATCTGGGGAGTTGAATCAGCCAATGCCAAGCTGGTTGATCATCGACGAAATCTCAGCACGGATACAGAAGGCTCGTTTCACATATGCCAGTTTACACCGTCTCTGGCTTAGTAGACGTGATATCTGGTTGGCTATCGACCAAAAGGCTTGTGTACTGCTCAGCAGCATTTCGCTCTGTCCTCCTTTATGGCTCCCAGTGAGACATGACCGTTGAAAGTGGAAGATATGAAAAGGCTGGTTGGCGAGCTCTCTTTGAACATAGGTGTCTGCGTTCTATCTCCCGTGTTAGGTGGTAGGTGTAATAAGGTGAGCAATATTGAGGTGAGCCATCGGTCGAGTGTTAGGTTAGGAGAGGAAATCAATCAACGAGGCTGTAAAGTTACATCGATTGAGTGGGTGTTTGGGACACGCGTTAAGCATGCATGTCTATCCATCGCCTTCCTCGTTGACAGGCAATGCTAGCTGACTGGCATAGAATTGATAAGGTTGGAAAGGAGCTAGCTAGTGGTGGTCAGACGAAAACAAGTCTTCATCAGTCGATGGAATCCATAAGAGTTAGTTTAAGCTAGGCATGTAGTCTGGCTTCCTGGTTGGGGTCCTCGGGATGGTGAAAACCAATGGAGGCTGGAGACAATTGGTGATATGGCTCAAAGTCGTGTCTTATAATATCCAATAAAATTATATTATTCTTCCATATTACTCGTATTCCTTTTACCTCACATTTCTTCTCATTATTTCTCCATTTTGAATTTGTTTTTACTGCCTTCTCTTGCTTTATCTGCTACATGGAGGGAGTATAGCAAGCTGAACTGCTGCATATCTGTGCAAAGTAGTTCTACGTGGAAACTATTTAGTCAGTTAGCTTTGTGATAGATATGTTCCTAATGACTAGCATCAATGTTGAGGAAACCCTGTTTGATAATGCCATATCTTTTTCGTGCTCAAGTTGATTAGAAGTCACTAGCTCTCGTTCAACTCGTCGTAGTTGAACAAATTAACACGTCTCTGGTTGATTAAAATATCCCAGAAATTAACTTACTACCAATACCAGGGTAGTGTTTCGTTGATATATAGTATACAGATGTTCACCAGTAATTACGGTCTGTCTCTGTCTGGATTCAACATAGAACTTGGCACCGAAGTGCAGCAGATCGAGTTGCCACGTCCCAAACAGCACACACAAAGGTAGACAAGAAGATGAGTGATGAAGAGAATCAATAGAGTTTTGACAAGTATAAGAGTGAAACAAAATGAGTAATGGTAGAAAGGAATATGAAAGATTACAGAGACTGAATACACCTGCATAAGCCATTGACAACGATTTTGAGCCATGTCACCTATTGTCTCCAGCCATTGATTCTTAGAGTCCCGAGGGCGGGCCCCAACCCGGAAGTCTGCATCTCCCTACCTACCTGACTCAGTTTAACTGTCAAGGATTTCATGGATTGATGAGGCCATGTTTTTGTTTGGCCACCACTTACTATTTTCCAACCAACGTGCACCTATATCAGCTAAGTAATTACGGTAAATGCTAAGTATTAGGTAAGATGAATAAATTGGTCGCTAAAGTTATGAATCTACATCGATTGTGAGGTGTCTAGGATGCATATTACACGTATGCCAAGCCACCACCTTCCACGTTGAACAATGTTAGCTGGTATAGAATCGAGATGGTAAACAGTTAGAGCTAGTCAAATCAAATTACATGCTATCAATCCATAATGTCTTTTTTGATTGTTGTTGTCAGTGGCATGGGAAGGTGTAGAGATGGCCTGTTTGCGATCCTTGAGACGATAAGAATGAATGAATAACTTAAGACTGTTGGTGATATAGGCTCAGATGCATTCACCATGTTGTAATCTCCTAGGTCCATTGAGTAGTCCGTATATATTTCTTCATGCACCACTTCCTTCTTCTGTACATTTCCGTTCATTATATAGTCCTCTTGAATTTTTGTTTGTTTTTTCCCCATATTTCTATGCTCTATGCAGTTTGATAACTAAGCGGTTTGATAACTGCTGCACTTCTGTCGGTCGGTCGGTCGGTTTTCGACATAGAACTTTGCACATATGTGCGGTAGTTCAAGTCGCCACACTCCATGTAGCACACAAAGGAAGAGAAAGTGGGAGAAATGCATAATATAGACAGAAAGTTGAGGTGTGAGACAAAGTACAAATTTAAAATATAGTCAGTTAGTTAATAAACCCATATCATTGTAAATGGTTTCGGGTCGTATCATAGTGTATCCAACTTTCGATTTTTATTTTTTTAACATCTTGAGGATCCTAGTCAAACAACACTTGTCTTAAACTAACAGACATCGGATCACTTTAAGTTCTTTTCCATATCAGCCGTAATCCAATGGATGTGTGTATTATGCCTAACGCTTATTCCGGGGTATCCAATTTTTATAGAGATTCACAACCCACCCCTCATTAACTGACTTGCTGACTGTCAGGCTGTATGATTTCAACATGGAACTTTGCATAGAAAGAAAGCAGTTCGAGTTGCTACTCTCCATGAAACTAATAAAAGAGAAGACAAAAACAATTGGGACCGGGGGTGGGGTGGGAGAAATAATAAACAGAAATGTTAGGGAAAAAGAATAATAACTGACTTGCACTAATTACCTAACACTGTGTGCCTCACTTTATTATTATTATTATTCACCATATTGCTCCACTTTACATGAGCGACTAGACGAAGATGTTCATATATCTTCTACTTTTAGCGGTACAGAATGTACTGCTTCACAGTACACGCGTTGTTCGATGGATATCTTGGTATCATGCACATATTAAAGATAATACAGTTGTATTTATTATTATTATTATTAATATTTCTTTCCTTTACTTTCTCATCGGAAGGCAGGACTTCAAGCTAGAGCTTTGAAGTTTCGGTAGCAGTGGTGTTACCCTCTTCACTCACAACTCTCTCCATGCATCTCATCAGGTAAAACCAGAAGCCTATATAGAAAACTATATGCTCGCACCAGCAAGTACAAAATCTCAACCATACCCTACTTAGCTCGTGTTCTGTGTGATAAAGAAAGCATTAGGCGTGACACCTATAATTCATTAAATAGTCAGTAGAACAACTGGATCTCGTCTTTCCAAGTCATATCATTTATAGGTACAACATTTTCTTTCTTTCTTTTCCTTTTCTCTCTCTCTCTCTTTTTTCCGTTATGTGCTGCTTTGTTTCTTTCTCCTGCTTACGCCAGTTAATATGACAGCTCCCACTTTTCTACCACCTTCAAACACTGTTTCAGCTTTACCTTTGCTACCGACATGCCAATGTGGTGCTGTAATAATGAACTGAGATTTCCTTAATCTGTGTAGAATTCTATTTATTGATAATGTACTAACTGGATGCAATACTGTAGTAAAAAATGCTGAGAATTCCATTCTGTATTACAAGTACTGTTTTGGAATAAAGCAAATTATTATTATTATTAAAAACTTTTATCTGATGAAGGTTGCTAGCCTTACGCCTAACCTTCCCGCTTCACCGGCCTTACTATTGGCTCAGCAAGGTGTAGGAGTGCGTCGGTCCGGGATTAAACCTCGGACCACATCCATAGTTGGCGAGTATTCTACTACTAAAAAACCGACTCACAACAACCGTGTGAAGTGGTATAGTAGGGTAAGCAATACTGAGGTTAGGCATTGGTCGAGTGTTAGGTAAGAAGGGAAAATCAATAGACGAGGCTGTGAAGCTACATTGACTGAGATGGTTAGGACATGTGTTAAGCATGCTAGCCTAACCATCGCCTTCCTTGATAACGGACAATGTTAACTGACATAAGATCAGGCTGGAAAAGAGCTAGTGGTGGTCAAACCAAGATATGACCGCATCAGTCAGTGAAATCCACAACAGTTAGTTTAAGACAGCCAGCCAGCCACGTAGGAAGGTGTAGACTGGCTTTCTGGTTCGGGTCCTAGGGACGGTAAGAACCAATGATGGCTGGAAACAATTTGTGATATGGCTCAAGATCCTCGTTCTCAATGGCTGGTGCAGATGCAACCACTCCTTGTGATTTATAGTACTCAATAAAACTGTATTGTTCTTCGTTATTACTATTCCTTTTGTCTCACACCTCTGTTTACTGTCTCTATTATGCATTTCTCCTACTTTCTTCTCTTGCTTTGTGTGTTTCATGGAGTGTGGCAAGTTGAGCTGCTGCACATCGGTGGAAAGTTCCATATCGAAAACAGACAGAAAGACAAACTTATGACACAGTTGTAGACAAGTATCAAATAGGTAATCTGTGCATAACATTTAGACATTCAAGCCAATTAGGTAAATATGCATTGCAAAAAAGTTGACGACGGTTGAAAAAGCTCAAAAAAAAGAAAATGGTATATCCTTTTGATCTATCTTTAACCCAGCTGATGATGGCTGCTACCTTGACATCGTGGTCGGGTTTACATATCGCAATGATTCAGAGAGCTAAATTGTGTGAAATGAATGTTCGTACAGGTTGTACTACTACTCCAGAGAGGTTGTTTGAATAGTGGTTAAACTAAGAGTAGTTACCATCATAGCAGAAGTTGGTTTACATTCTGTGCGGGTGGTTGTTGCTGCTGCTGGATTCAACATAGAACTTGGCACCGAAGTGCACCAGTTCGAGTTGCCACGTTCCAAATAGTACACAAAGGTAGACAGGAAAATGAGTGAAGAGAATCAACAGAGTTTTGACAGGTAAACGAGTGAAACAGAATGAGTAATGGTAGAAAGGAATATGAAAGATTACAGAGACTGAATACATCTGCATAAGCCATTGACAACGATTTTGAGCCATGTCACCTATTGTCTCCAGCCATTGATTCTTAGAGTCCTGAGGGCGGGCCCCAACCCGGAAGTCTGCATCTCCCTACCTCTAGGAATTAAAGGAAACAATAATAATAATAATAATAATAATAATAATAATAATTGAAATATGAGTAATTTATGTTCATCCGTAATATTTTTATTTTCTCACAAGACAGAACTTGTTAACTTCATATTAATATTAATTTTCTTCTTCCTTATTATTTTTTTGTTCCCCCTCCCCGAAGGTTCATTACTTGATGTTATTAAGTATACACAGAATAAACGGGATATCACTTACGGGGTTTTTGATGAAAATACAATAGCTACAATCTTACGTGATGTCCTACGCGGATTAGCTTACATCCATGAAAATGGTCTAGTTCATCGGTAGGTGATTAATTTTGTCTTTGATGTTTCTGTATCTGTTTTTTTGGGGGGGGGGGCGAGTTTCTCTCTCTCTTCAAAGTTTTAGTTTAGCTCCGTATCATAGTGTAAGATAAATAGAATGTAGAACTATTAGATAGTTGAAGGCAATCGGCCATAGGAAGCCTAGCTTGACCTAGATTTCGTGCTAACTGGCACTCACTAGTCAGCAAGGCGTATCTACAACCTTCAAAGAATTCATGTCTTGCCTTCTGAGACTCGAGCCCACATCACCCAGTGAGTAGTGCTGCAGTCAGAGAAGTTACCACTGAGGGGGGTTATTTAGGCTCGCGACTGACCCCCTGTAGTACTGTATTGTTTTGCTTTGATTAGACACTGACTAGTGTCATGCGTGTGTGTAGTCCTTCGTTTGGTGAAGACTAAATTCTATCTGTCAAGTTTTCAACAAACCAACAGGCAGGAAATCTAGGTCATGTAAGACTTACTGTGGCCGACTGCCTTCAACCATCTATTGGTAACAACAATTCTGAGTGCACCATGATGGAGTTTGTGTTTTAATGAAGATGTGATAAGATGAAGGGATGATAAGGGAGAGAGGTTGAAAATATATATAAGGGGTGGTGGAGAAGTCATCAGTTGGTAATGGTTGTACGAACTTCTGTTGAATGAATGCATAGTTTAGGCTGAATAGTTGCTCGAATGCCTATTGCCCCAGCTGTGTGCAGTGGAGGAATACGAACTCCATTGGAAAGATTCGGTGGGATACGATGAATCACTGTGAAAGCTCTCGTTTTCTCAATTACATGACCACTATCAATTAAGTGTGACGAAATTGAGCTACGGATTGTTTTTGTCTGTCCTTTGCCAAACCACGATGATGGAAGATGTTCACTAACACGCTGTCTAGTAGTACGCTCAACATAACTGCCACTGCAGGTGCAGTTGAATTGATAAATGCATATAGATGTGTGGCAAATCTATCCAGCTTATTCTTCGTTTGTGTCTTAATCATTACTTTACTTTGCTTCGGCTATCTCCTACGGGAGGATGAGCCGGCTTCATGAACATCTCGAATCATCACTGCCCAGGCGCGGCGTTTGTAAGAGAGTTCATGAAGTTTCATGGGAATTTGGTACGAGTGATGTCCCCAGAATCGCTCGGCCTTTTGTTTGAGAGCGCAGCTCTAGCCTTTACACAACCAAGTTTAACCTACAAGGCAGTAGGAGTGGAGTAGGGAGTCCACTATCCATTGTCAGCCGGTGACCGGAGTTCGGTTCATACGCCTTTTTGAATGGGGTCAGACATCCAGAACATCCAACAAGCCCTTGTCCATACGTCTGCCGGTGAGCTCCAGTGAGCTTCATACGCCAGTCGTTGGAGGTTTGGAATCAGGGTTTAGCCATCTCCCCTAGACTATCATCCAATGGACAGTCAACCCGGTGAAGAGCTCCGGGCATACGCTTTCGCCCTCCCACTTTGGTGAAAAACACCTCCGCCACGTGAAGGCAGTGAGTAGGACTTCCTCAGGAGAGGCTATGTAAGACGCCCGGTCATATGGGAGCATTTCAAGAGGTGTGCGGACGGGTGGCCAACCCGCAGCGCAAGGCACCTACCCCCGACCATCCTGAGGCTTTGGAGGACAAACATAGATATGCTGCTTGAAACGTTCTTCGTATACTACTGGAAAGTCTCTGGAATAAAATCTCACTTGATACGTCACCATTAAATTGTTACTTAATAAACAGAGAATTTTTACGTGCAGTGAAAGTCTCAGGTTTTCTCTATGATGCTTTCATATGTTTGTTTATGAAATAAGTCGGATAACCCGTCTCCGTCAAGGATTCGTGAATATATTCAAATTCCTTTTGTAAGAGGTCATCCGTACATATCTTTCTTGCTCTGCTCGTAAGACATTTAACAACGTTTCTTTTATATTTAATGGGCACGTAAGTAAGGAAGTGTGTGTATTGCCCTGTGAATGTGCTTTTTCTATACACGCTTCTCCCAAGTGACCCATCCCCTCTCCTAACTAGCAAGACATCCAGAAAATGTAGTAACGTCTATGTTTACATTCCCATTAGCTAAGATAATACTCCTATTTGGTTCAGTTTTTTGAGAGAATTGTTCATTAGTTTCTCCCCTCTTACACTGAGGTCTTTGGAACTACCAAGAGATTGGAATTTAGTTTTATCACTCAAAATACCTTCCATTTTCTTGTTTTATGTATGGATTTAAAGGCATTATTATTGTTATTATTCTCTTCGGTTCCGAGTGGAACATAGGGCTTCAAAAACACATCTTCACTTTCTTCTATTTTCTGCCGTCCTTTTCAGTTGGGTCCACGATTACCCATAATCTCTCATCTCCTCGCCACATGGTCTCCTCCATATCACCCTCGGACACACGACCCACTCGCGCGATGTCATTCGACAGCCTCCTTGATGTATAACCGATCCATCTCCATTTTCTCCTGCATATTTGTTGAGTGATTGGCTCTTGGTTGGTTTGTTCCCAGAGTTTCTAGTTACTAGTTCTTTCTGGCGCATAATCCAGTTCACCACAATTAGGAATATCATCCTTGGTGATGATAGGCGGTAGCCTTGTCTTACTCCAGTTTTCACTTCGAACGCTTCACTGAGTTTTCCATTGTAGATCACCTGACATTTGTCATTGTCATATAGAGCTAGCTGTTGAATGAAGTTGATAGGGGGACTTAGGCATTGAGCTCCACATAGTGTTGAGATTGTTTCCAAATTACTTCTCGGTCGACGCTGTCTGTTGATGAAGTTGAGGTGGAGAGAGGTTTGACTGCCATTCTATTCTAGGCTGTGTTCAATGACGATGCGTAGAGTTTCAATTTGATCAGCAGATGAGATTTACTTTTTCCTGAATCCAACTTGTTTCGGCGGGGAGGGGTGGTCAGAGTTCTGCACCCATTGCATTTTTTATTCTCTTCAACGGTAGGTATTCTCAAATCTGTCGATCACCATAAAATCGTCTTCACAAATGATGAAGGAAAAGTATCTTGTCGTATGTGAAGAGAGAATATTTCTGAAATTTTCATTTTTAGTAGTAAATATCAGTGTTTGTGAGCGCTATGCTGAAAAAAACAATCACTTCATTTCATACTATGCAGATCAGAGTAGTAGGCAAACAAAAAAAGAAGAAGAAAGAGACTGAAACCAACCATGTTCAAAATACTCTCCTAGCCTTGTTACATCTGGTCATCGTTCTCATTTTCATAAGTCATAAATTATTTTAAACGATTGAAATGATTAGTCATTTTTTTCTCCTCTCCAGCCCTTTGTGTTCTCAGTAGAACAAGGTGGTGGCTGCAAGCTTTGACGTTGCATTATCTGGTAGTGTTACTTTCTTTCTATGGCTTTTTTTACAGACACCTAGGGTATATTACGATTGCGATGGTTGGGATTCGAACCCGGAGCACTTGCGTGTGTGTGTGTGGTTAGCGTACATATTCCACAATTGAAACAACAACTGGCTCAAGATATATGTATCGTCTTTCATATCAATCAATCTACACGGACAACTAGAGACGTACAGAGAGAGAGATTGGTAGTTTGAGGAAACACTAAGAATGTTAGAGACTTTTTATAATCCTTGATGACTTGGATTAATCATGTACGATCAATAGACCATATTGATTCAACTGATAAGAATACAAATCAGAAAGGCCGAGTAGTCAGGTCAACGAAACAAACCAATATGATGATGAAATACGAGTAAACAGCATAATAATAATAATAACCTTAGTGTATTTGTGTTCTCTAAGCTGGCTGATTGGCTGGTTGGTTGATTTACTTGTGAAGCTTTCGTTCTCTTCCTGGACAATATCTTCAGAGCTAACTTTTACTTAATGAAAACAAAACACGTAGATCAGCGAAGAGTCTCTTTTCGGCGGTGAATTCATTTTCTTATCTGTACAATCGCAAATATATATGTGTTATTTTGTATGTATGTGTACAATAAGTTTATCAAACAAAAATACAATTGGTTATAGTTATTTAAACTAAACAGATGAAGATTGGTAATTGGAGTTACGTAATACAAAATCAATCAAGAAAATTAGGTGTTATTGAAATTAGGGTAGTAACAAAGGTGATGAGTTGTCACAAATAGTTGTTAAAAGAAGTTATGTAATGATATGAATAGTTTGATGAGTGAGTTTTACTCAGGATGCACATAGGAACAAAGTAGATAATACGAAATTACGTAAGAGTTCTAAATGAATACAAGAATTATAAGCAATTAAAGGACAGGCAAATAAACAAAATCAAGTCATCAAAATCAAAAAATCAAATCAAATCAAAAAAGTTGTTACTAAGACAGTAGAAGTGGTTGAGTAATCCTCTTTTGTATGCACAGCTCCTGTTTTTCTATGTGAATGGCCAGAGCTTCAGCGATACAAAGAAGGCGAAACCGTATTGCCTTTGGTAGGTTATTCTTGACTCTGTAGATTACTTTGAAGGAGGCGTTTGTTGAAATGGAATGATCAGTGTTAACCAGGTGTTCAATTATCGCACTCCTTATTGCACCATTATTACCTTTTCGCTACCATGCTGGATAGTGTTCTTCGATCCTCGTGGACAGGGTGCGCGTCGAACGACCGATGTACCTGGCTCCACAGCAGCAGGTGAACTGATATATGCACATAGAAATGGTCAGATGGGCGGGATCTTGTCCTTGAGCTTCTGCAGATCAGTGGCGACTGGAGAACACTATTCTTAGCGTTGCTGCAAAGAATGTTCTTCTCAGAGACGATGTGATCCTTCTCTTGAGAATATCGCTTGCTAAATCTCCCTTGAAATCTAGGTTCATGTAGAGTTTCTTTTTTGGCACAAGTAGAGTTTCGTTTCTCCGAATTCTTGGTTTGATATTTTTGTCGATGAATCTTATTGGGTATCCATTTTGGACGAAAATTTCTCTTAGAATATCTAATTGTGTTTCCAGAGCGTCGGGACTGCAGATGCGTTGGATGCGGGTGGCAAGTGATTTAATTAAATTTTGGTTTTGTTTAATGAGTACCCAGCTATAGAAGCTTGTTAGCTCACCATTCCAAGTAGGTTTTCTATGGATCGATCTTCTTAGGCTCCCATCAGTTCTTCTTGTTAGTTTCACATCAAGAAACGGAATTTTCGACTCGTTTTCCATTTCAAGAGTGAATTTTATTGCTGGATGGCAACAGTTAAATGTCTTCAGCAGTAGATTTAACTACAATATCATCCATATGAGGTGTAAATTCTCTCTCTTGTGAGCAGAATAGTAATAATAATAATAATAATAATTGAACATCTGAGAATTTTGTCAGTCACAGTCAATATTATCATATTTGAATATGATGACAACTAGTGGTGTCCATCAGAGATGTCCATTGTACTTTATATTTTTGTGTACTTTCGTCATAGATGTACTCAAGGAAGTGACCCTAACTGACATCGGCAACTTGAGGATTGACTTCCTACTGCCTTATCGACTTAGGGCGTATGCATGTTATTGTCCCACTAGGTGGAGACATAGAGGGGAGTCTTCTGAACACCTTTAGCATAGATCTATTATCCTGTTAAATGTAAGATGATGCTACACGACTGGATCACATTGACTCGTAGCTTAACAACTGACTGACTTACTAACTGGTTTCAACGTAAAACTACTTTGCACAGATGTGCAGCAGTTCAACTTGCCACAATCTCTCTCCATATAGCACACAAAGTGAGAGAAGAGAGTAAAGAGAGATAATAAACAGAAATATGAGGTAAAAAGAATACTAATATGGAAGGACAATAGAATTTTATTGGAGCTTTATAAATCACAAAAACTGAACGCATCTATGCCATCATCGAGTGCGAAGATTTTGAGCCATATCACCAATTGTCCCGCTGCCTTCATTGGATTTTACTATCCCGAGGACGCCAACCAGTCAGGAAGCCAGTCTACACCTCCCTACGAGACCGGCTTAAGCTAACTGTTGTGGATTTCATTGACTGATGAGGTCATGTTTTAATGTCTCCACCACTAGCTAGATCTTTTCCAACCTGATCAATCATATGTCGGTCAGCTAACATTGCCCGTCGTCGAGGAAGGCGATAGATGGCTCGGCATACATGAGTAACACATGTCCTAACCATCTCACTCAATCGATATGACTGCTCCACAACCTCGTCGATTGATTTCCCCTCCTTACCCAGCACTCACTCGATGGAGGCCTAACCTCATTATTGCTTACCTTATTACACCTACCACTTAACACGGGAGACAGAACGCGAACACTTGTATGATGATAGACAGCTTCCTGGCCTTTTCGTATCCCCAGCCGACGCACTCCTTTACCTCACTAAACCATCCCGTAAAAATAAATACACCACTGCTACCGAAAGTTCAGGCCTTTTCGTATCTTCCATTTTCAATGGCCATGTCTCACTGAGAGAGCCATAAAGGAGGACTGAGCGAAGTGCTGCTGCACAGTACACACGCCTTTCGGTCGATTGCCAGCCGGATATCACGTCTACTAAGCCAGAGATGGAGTAAGTTGGCTAATAAAAATGCCAAACGAACCTTCTGTATCCTTCTGCTGAAATTTCGTCAGTGATCAACAAGGACTCGCAGCCTAAAGGTAGTCAGGTACGCATAGAGAAATAGCAGTAACTGTTTATTCTGAACTGATGGTAGTTAGAGAATTCTTTGGACATTGAATACCAACTTGGTTGTCTCACCTTATAACTTAAAAATATTCTAACTTAACAAACATTTGCTCAATCCATCTTTAAAAAAATTTTTGTTTTTCTTTATTGATTTCTGTTGAAAAAATGCTTAGTGATTTAAAATGTGGTAATCTCTTGGTCAAAGATGATGGAATTATTCAAATAGCAGATTTTGGTGTGGCTGGATTCTTGGCAACTCAACCGTTAACTGCAACTGGTAGTGTTGATCTACGCCGGTATACATTTGTCGGTACACCTTGTTGGATGGCACCAGAAGTTATGCAACAGGTAAAGCTTAGAGAAGAAAAAAATAAATCATTTTCATTTCTTGACATTTTTTTGTATTTTTGAATTTTCCGTCGATTCACTTATATTGGACTTGAAATGCATGATCGCTCTGCTGACATGTTGACGGTTCCTAGTGCGGATAATTCAACAACACTTTGGCATTAACAGGATATTATTTTGGTTGGTGATGATTGACATTAGGATTCAGGAAATGTGTTTCTTCCTATTTTTGGCCTCATCAACTGTGGATGAGTAATTGTCATCACATTGGGATCTGAATCTAACACCCGCCACTTCAAACGCCAAATCATTATCCTCTATGTCAAGGGATGGTGAGACAAATAATACAATCTTTTCATTCTATTCAGTATCGCAGTAGTTAAATAGTCAACCGGCTCTTCTCGTAACCAGTAGGTCCTGTTTTCGACCCCTCGTTTGGGCAGCGGGGGGGGGGGTAATGGTTGAGTACTTCTGAAGCATCTCCGGAATACAAGGGCCTAACAGCTGTCCAGTACTTCTTTGGGGTTATTTTCATCGTCGATAGTTCACTGGTAGAATTCTTACACAGACACGTGAATTCGATCAGGGCGCCTTGATTGGGGGCGATGTAGTTTAAGCCATGTAGGAAGGTGTAGACTGGCTTCCTGGTTGGGTTCCTCGGGACGGTAAAAACCGATGGTTGGAAACAATTTGGTGACATGGCTCAAGATCCTCGTTCGCAATGGCTGGCGAAGATGCATCCACTCCTTGTGACTTATGATTTCCAATTAAACTGTTTTGTTCTTCGTTATTACTATTCCTTTGTCTCACACTTCTGTTTACTGTCTCTAATATGCATTTCTCCTACTTTCTTCTCTTGCTTTGTGTGCTACGAAGAGGGAGTGTGGCGGCTTGAGCTGCCGCACATATGTGCAAAGTTCTATGTCGAAAACATATAGACAGACAGGCAGACCTTGGAGGACTACATCATCCGCATATTCTAAGTCAACAAGATTATTCATTTAGTTACTGGAGGCCAGAAAATGGTCAATTCCACGAGTAACATCTATGCTGAAATTAAACAGAATTGGGAACACTGTGTTATTATCCCTGACAGACACTACTAGTTAATCATCACTTCAAATAACAACTCTGCATATTCTCTTACACAGACACGTGAATTCGATCAGGGCGCCTTGATTGGGGGCGATGTATTTTCTCGACATTCCCTTGATAGACAAACAAACATTGCCGTAGGTACCTCTTGGTCTATGGTGTCGAATTACGCCTTCTCTCCATTTCACTCTATTCTTTGTAGTCTTTCTAAACTGGCATCACTCCTTAAATGATCAAGTCCATGTTACCTTCGGATGACAAAAACTCGTCATTTCAAATTCACATTCCAAATCTTTTTGTGCAGGCTACAACAACATGTAGAAGAAGATGTCAAATCCAGCCAGAATGGGAAAGGCAAGACAGACAGACCTTCTTCACTCTAAAATCAGTTTGGAAATCTTCTGAATTCAACATAAAGAACAAGATCCAGATTTTCAACAGCATTTTGTTAAGTCGTCAGTCAGTTCTTCTATACGGGTCAGAAACTTGAAGCACACTTCATCAAAAGGCCTTTCCAACAGGCTAATTCAGACTAATTGTCAACAGCTGCTATCTCTGGCTGCATATTGAAGATTAGTTAACCAGTCGGCCAGAAAGAAAGAATTAGTAACAAGAAACTCTGGGCACAGACTGATCGAGAACTTGTTGCTTAACAAAAACGCCAAAGAAAATGCAGATGGATTGGACACACACACGCACACTTGAAGAGACCGTCGTCGAGTTATATCGCGCACCTGACCATCTTTTGAGGCGAACACGAATGGCAAATGACAAGTTGGGTGTTAGTCCGAAAATGACATGGAGAGGATATGTGAGACTAGAGACAATCGTGTGGAAACTTAACATAATCTCAGAGAATAAAACAAAATTGAGGTGTTCTGTTGAAACCCTGTTTTCTAGTCGGAACCCAAAGGAACAATTATATAATAATAATAATGGTTTCTTGTTTGGATCGCTGCCAAAGTTTTTGTTGTATATAACAACCGATCATTACCACTGTTTGTTTGAACGTACCGTTCTTACATAATTTATGCTGTGTATACACAACAGTGTGTTTTGCTCTGATTGCTTAATCTTGGCGTCTGACTTGTAACCATTGACTCCCAAGTTCGAATCCGGTCCCAACTGCGGAGGTTTTGACAGCCAAGTAGTATCATTAGACCTCAAAATATTTGTGACGAACAGATATATATATATATACTCTATTGTTCCCACTTAGTTTTTCCCGGGCTACTGAAGAAAGACTATAACGTATCGCGCAGGATGTTAAATGTTGTCAGCAGGGTAAGCAACCTGCCACTTAACCAGCTTGTTAATATTCTGGTCGACAGGCACATGGACTCATGTGAAAAATGGGCCAAATCCATTTTATCTAACTCACACCACCCTCTTCACTCACAACTCTCCCCTTGCATCTCATCAGGTAAAAGCAGAAGCCTATATAGAAAACTATATGCTCGCACTAGCAAGTACAAAAACTCAACCATACCCTACTTAGCTCGTGTTCTGTGAGATAAAGAAAGCATTAGGCGTGACACCTATAATTCATTAAATAGTCAGTAGAACAACTGGACCTCGTCTTTCCAACTCATATCATTTATAGGTGCAACATTTTCTTTCCTCCTTTTCCTTTTGTCTCTCCCTTTTTTCCGTTATGTGCTGCTTTGTTTCTTTCTTCCGCTTACGCCAGTAAATATGATAGCACCTACTTTTCTAACACCTTCAAACACTGTTCAATTTTGGCTTTGCTACCGACATGCCAATATGTTGTTGTCATAATGAACTGAGATTTCCTTAATCTATGTAGAATTCTATTTATTGATAATGTACTAACTGGATGCAATACTGTAGTAAAAATGTTGAGAATTCCATTCTGTATCACAAGTACTGTTTTGGAATAAAGCAAATTATATATATATATATATATATTCCACGGTTGAAGGCAGTTGGAAGTGAGCCTTGCTTGACCTAGATTTCGCGCTTGTTAGCACTTTCACGAGTCAGTCAGCAAGGCATGCATCTGCAGCCCCTTCTGAGATTCGAACCCCTGTATCACCTAGTGAGTGCTGTAGTCAGAGATGTTGCCAATGAGGAGAAAGTTCCAGAATTATTTCTGATCAGAGGTCAGATTAATAAAATTACTAAGAAGTATAATAAACAGAAGATAGGTAGGTTGTGGCACTATTCTAGAAATATTTCGGGCCAAATGTCAAATTAAAAATTACAAAATGTGTAATAATCAGGAAGATAGAGTAGAAAAGACAAAATGGGATTATAATTACTGGAAAACTCGTCAGTTTGTACAATTACGAGTTAAGGATGTAGTATTAACGAAATGGGTAGGAGGTTCGGACATTTAAAAATAAAAACAGTAACCAAATCTAATAATGCAGATAGGGATTTAAAAGGTAAATATAACAAATAAACGGGAAGGTTGGACAAGATAGGTAAACTGGGAGCATCATTATTGGTGAGACTGACTTTTCATGATGGCCACGGTAGGGACAACGGTTGGATGTATTTCTTTTGGACACATAGAATAGGCTTGAGTTTTTGGATCGCCAGTGCCTCAGCTATTCCTAGATGTCTTGATTTCACTCCCTTTGGTAGGTTAGATAGGATCTTATATATGGCTTTGGGGCTGGATGTCCAGAATTCACCAGATGTTCTGTTTTCGAACTGTATACGCATTTTGCGTTCTCCTTTTGCTAACTATGCTGGATAGTGTTCCCACGCGCGCTTTACGAGCAGACGCATGGTACGGCCAATGTACTCAGCCCCACACGAGCAAGTGAACTTGTATATGCATGTATAGGTAAGAATTAAGAAAGCTGTGACCAATAATAAATTGTGTTTGAAACCTTGTCATCCAGTATGCAATAATACTGTTTCACACACTATGTGTATGATATATCCATCTAATAAACAAATTAAATATGTGGAATCAATGGCTTCTGTTTTTTATACAGAAAAAAAGAAACAATTGAAGGAAAGCTTTTTAATAATTTGGATAGTGTTGTGATTAGAAGACGGAGATTATCTGAAAAATGGTATGTGATGTATTTGCGCTATACATTTCGAACACAATCTGATCCCTCACACATTTACTTGTCAAGTCGATATATATATGAAAAAATTAGGGCAATTAAATTAAACAAAGTGGGGAAAAACGGATTTAAGAATGACTAACACAACGTTTGGTAATCCAATCACGTTTGAAGGTGAACATTTTCGACAGGTAGATGGTGTTGCTATGGGGAGTCCATTAGGACCTTTGTTAGTGGACGTTTACATGTCTTATGTTGAGAACTTGTCTCTTGATTTAATTTCTAAAATCCCTTTCTATAGGAGATATGCAGGTGATATCATTTTGATATGTGACGATCATGAAAATGCTAGTCGTCTATTAGATAGACTTAACTCTGTACAGAATCATATTAGTCTTACATGCGAGGAAGAAAGTCGCAACCAGCTTGCATTTTTAGACATACTTCTGAGTCGAAGAGATGATGGTTCAATAAGATGATCAATCTACAGAAAGCCCACTTGGACACAGGGCAATGCCGTAATTTTCACAGTTTCTGTCCATTACAGTATAAGAGAGGCTTGGTGAAATGTTTATTTAAGAGGATTCAGCGTATTTGCACAGCTGATGTTATAGAGAAAGAAAGTGAAATATTGATGGATACTCTTGTTGAAAACGGATATCCTCTAAAAATTTTTAAACAGGTGTAGAAGTCAATTAGTCTTTAAACCTACAATCTATACCGCCCCTAAGAAAAATGTCTTCATTAAATTACCATATAACGGGGAAGTAAACAGTAGGATTTTGAGACAAAGGTTGAATTCGATCATCCGTAGAACCTATCATGCAGCCCAGTTTGTAATTGTGGAAAAAGCTAAAAATATGCTTCACTGCAAACCTCAAAAGTGCACAAGTGATTATGTCACATCCCACACTATTTACCAATTTTCGTGTGTGTGTGTGTGTGGTCACACATACATAGGGAGGAGTAATCGCGCTTTACATGTGAGGGTAGGAGAGCGAGCATATCCCAAAATGGTTAGAAAAACCAATGAACTGTGAAAAACCAATAGATGCAGGTGTCAGACTACCAACAACTTCGTCTATAGCTAAACAGCTAATCGAGATGAACCATAAGAGTGATGTTAACTCAGTCTTTAAGGTCATCTATAAAAATGGTCAAGGGCGCTTATTGAAATACACTGAGTCTATAGCTATTCATAAACTTAAGCTCTCCCCCTGTGTATTCAAAAACAATTTATTATTACTCTTAACCTACCTTGTGCATCGGTGGCACAGTGGTTAGGACTCTCGCCGACCATGCACATGGTCCGGGGTTCGATCCCCTGCCGACGCACACCCGATATCTATGGTCGGCCTGTAAATTTGGGCTACCGATATCCATGCTGAAAATTCCATACTTGTACTGAAAATACGGTGTGGCATCAAGCTGTAATCAAAATTAAAAAAATATTTGATTAGATTACCAAACGTTGTGTTAATCTAAAACAATTAGTTCCCTTTATGAATTTAGATAAAGCAATAAGAAGACGTAATTTGTCTGAATCGTGTAATGTATTTGTGCAACACATTTCGAACAATCTGATCACACACGGACTTGTCATAGGAATATATATGAAATCAATAAAGAGTAAGAGGTGAGAAAATAGACTAAGGTCAAGTTAAAAGGACATATTCAAGGTCAAAATAACAATGAAGACCACTGAACCAAATAACAGAGGTAATAGTACATCTGCTATGGTATCAAAACAAAATTTACCAAGGAAGGTTTAATGTGATGACGAATTGTTTTTGAACGCATAAAGGTGGCTTAAACTTTCTAATTGCTAGCTATGGCTTCCACAAACTTAAGGATACGCCCCAAACACGTTTTATAGATAGGTTTAAAAGATCTGTTAACGTCAATTTTATGTCCTGTCTCTATAATATGTTTCGCAATAGAAGAGCTAGGTCTCCTGTTCTCACCGTTAATAGGTTCTGAAGATTCCATTTGTTTCTGGAGCCATTTAGGAATATGCTCTGAAGCCCTTACTTGCAGAGATCGATGAGTCCTCCCTATGTATATGTGTCCACACGTACATTCAAATTGGTAAATACAGTGGGATGTGACGTTATTTTTCGCATGTTCAAAGGGCTTAGATAGATATATTGGCTTCACATTCTCTATTATTATGGTATTGGCTGCATAAAAAGTCTTTTTGACACCAGCGTTCAGTCTTTGTCTAGTTATCAAGCTGCTTAGATGCCCCATATAGGGTAGCTTGATATACACGTCTTTCTTAGGGGCGAGTTGTAGAGTGGGTCTTGGTGATCTGATTACCTTATATCTCCTGATGAACTTATCTGGATAATTGTTATCAACCAGAGTTTGTGTCAACTTTCTTTCTTCTTCATCAAGTGTGTCTTCAGTGCATATTCGTTGGATTCTACTGAAGAGGTACCTTATTAAGGCTCTTTTGTACCGAACAGGGCAGAAACTGTGGTAATTAAGATGCTGTCCTGTCCAGGTAGGTTTTCTATAAATAGATTTTTTACTGACCCATCAAGCCGTCGACTAAGCAATATGTCTAGGAAAGATAAACAATTATCTTCCTCTTCTACAGACATGGAAGTGATATGCTATTCTGAACTTCATTCATTCGATTTAAAATTGAAGTGGCAGAACAAGACTTATCACTGATGATTACAATATCATCTACATACCTTCTATAAAGTGGCACATTTTCGATTAAATCCTCTGATAAACTGTCAATGTACGACATATAAATATCTGCTAAAAGGGGCCTTAACGGACTTCCCATAGCAACACCATCAACTTGGCGGAAACAATCGCCTTCAAATGTAAACCTAACATTGTTAGTACATAGAAGTAATAAATCATTCTTAAATCCCTTTTCTTTGTCACTTTATTTAATTTAATTGCCCTTAATTTTTTCATATATATATATAGCGACTTGACAAGTAAATGTGTGAGGGATCAGATTGTGTTCGAAATGTTTAGCGCAAATACATCACAACATACCATTTTTCAGGTAATCTCCGTCTTCTAATCACAACACTATCCAAATATATACAAAAGGGACTAATTGTTTTTGAAATTTTTAATAATTGAAGAGTAGAATTTTTTTATTTAGAAAATCTAATTAAAAATAAGTATAAAAAAAGGAGGAAACTGTCTTTTTTCTGTCCCCACCCCACCCCAGTTTTACGAGGTGAAAGTAGGTTTATTATTACACAAGTGATGTTATTTTGTAAGATTGATGAAACAAGAAAAGGAACAAAACTGACAGTGAGAACACACCCTAATTTAACATTAGTCAATGATAATTATTATTGATTTCATCATGAATTGATTTCGGCTAGCGGACCATTGTAAAACCAGTAGGGAGTATTGGATAGCCAGGTGTTTCTTCAGCCTAGTTTGGGACTCTTCATCAGTACACATCCACCTTCTGGAGTTCGAACCCACCAGGACCTTCTGGTTACAAGGTGAGCAAGCTCGTATACCATTAAGTCACTGGCTAGTTCGTTGAATTCCACCTTCTGCCAATTCATGATATCGTGCAACTGATACTGGCGAATGTCATCGGTGGCGACGAGTATTTGTCCTCAACACCCTCCCCCCCACAACCTGCTGCACCCCCACTGGTCATCACGACTTCCCACTAGAATCAATCAAAACACACAGCAAACCAACACTTGGATTAATACTGTTGTTTCCTTAGGTTCTGACTAGAAGTAGAACGGCTTCAACAGCTTCAACATCTCCACTTTGTGCTATTCTCTGCGATCCTCTTTACCTGACCCCATGCATGATTACCCATAGTCTCTCATCTCTTACTCACACGATTTCCTCCATGTTATACTCGGCCCAACGCGAAAGTCATCGTTTCCCATCTGAGTGACACTTGAACGATGGTCTGGCGTGCGATGATGTTACCCAAACAGTCTCCTCAGCGTGTACCCCATCTATCATCTCCATTTTCTCCCTCAAATTTGTTGAGCAATAGGTTTTTCAATTGGTTTATTCCCAGTGTGTACTGCTGCTAATTCTATCTGGCCAGTTGGCCATCTGATCTTCAATGTGGGGAGCCAGCGATAGCAGCTTTTGATGAAATTGTGCAATAGAAATGCTTTTGGTGAAACGTGGGCCAAGTTTTTCTCAGTCATAAAGAAGAATTGACTGTTTCAACATTGATGTTCACAATCCGGGTGTTGCGTGACCGCAGAGTCCAGGGGACAACTGCTTGATGCTGGCCGGTCACACACGGCCTGTGTGAACTGGTTTCTTTGGTTGGTTCCGTGTTAGTAAAGTTACCGCCGGTTACGGACCACCGTTGGTGGGGTAAGTCGGGATGTAGAATTTTCGGAGTCGACCTTTTCTAACTGCCTCTCTCTGGAGTGGAGAGACAGCATAGCTGGCTGGTATGCTAGTCATCTGAGGGAAACACCTCACTGCTATTACATCCCTATTCTCCAGCAGTACGACTTCGCCTACAGACCCCCAGGATGGTGTAACAACAAAATATCTTATACTATGCTGGTAACTGCTTTTAGTCTAATCACCATCCTAAAAATCTTCCTGTCATGGTAAGACCTGCAGGAATATTGGTCCCAGCCGGTATAACTTGTTGGGTCATCGCTATGTGCAAGCCCGACCACCACTTGAAGGTAGTAGCTGTCGGTCGGGACCAGTCAACAGGCGACATCCTGCATCCTCCAAGGAACTTATGTCCCCATCACCTCCTGCCAATATTGGAACCCACGTTATCCAGCGCTTCACTCAGCGATGTATATCATTGAGCTATTTCAGCTTGTTATTATTACTGTTGTTATTTTCATTACCCCAGTAGTATGAGTAGTATGTGTATTATTGTAATCTAGCAGAATTCATTTTTCTTCATATTTTTTTATAGGCTCGCGGTTATAATCAAAAAGCAGATATCTGGTCATTAGGTATTACAACTATTGAAATGGCAACTGGTCAAGCTCCATATGCAAAATTTGCACCAATGAAGGTTAGTTTATGCCTTTTACATTTCACCTAATATATCATTTATTTTTCTCTCTCCCTCTCTCTCTCTCACACACACACACACAATAATGAAGTAAGACTGACTGACTGGTTGCAGTGTAGAACTTTGCACACAGATATGCAGCAGTTCAATTTGCCAATACTGCCCTCGCCCTCGCATGTAGCACAGAAAGCAGGCGAAGAGAATAAGGAGAGATTCAACAAAACGGAGATAAATAAACAGAAGTATGAGTGAAGGAAAAAGTATAGAAATATGGAAGAACAATACAATTTTCAAGTGTTGGTTTGTAGGGATTTGATTGGTTTCAGGATTTTCATCATGAGCTGACATTAGTTAGAGAACCATTGGAAAACCTGGGAGTACTGGACAGCTGTTTCGTCCTAGTTTGGGACTCTTCAGAAGTACGCACCCACCGGGATTCGAACCCACGACCTTCTGGTTACAAGGCGAGCTCGGTATAACATTAAGCCACTGGGACCCGATCCAATGGTCCATGAATTCTAACTTCTGACAATTCACAATACAATTTTATTGAATATGACAAATAAGCCACTACTGGAGAAGGTGTGGAAAGAAGGCAAAGTACCTGAGGATTGGAAGAAAGGATACTTATTCAAACTACCAAAGAAAGGAGACTTAAGTCAATGCAAGAACTGGCGCGGAATTATGCTCCTGTCCACCCCAAGCAAAATACTAAGCTGCATCATCCTGGAGAGAATCAAACATGCCAACCTGGATGAAAAACTTCGAGCGTAACAGGCTGGATTCAGGAGAAACAAGTCATGCATTGATCAGGTCGCCACAGTACGGATCATCATTGAACAAAGCCTGGAATGACAGTCACCTCTCTATCTCAACTTCATCGACTTTGAAAAGGCCTTCGATGGCGCAGCGTCGATCGAGAGGTGATTTGGCAACTACTTCGCTACTACGGGGTGCCACCGAAAACTATACATCTCATCCAACAGTTGTACGACAATGCTGCATGCCAAGTAATCCACAACGGGAAACTTACGGAATCCTTCGAAGTGAGGACAAGAGTAAGACAAGGCTGCCTACTATCGCCAATGATTTTCCTGATTGCAGTAGACTGGATAATGCGACAGACAGCGAGCCGGGCAACGAGGAGACAGAAGACAGGCATAAAATGGACTCACACAAAAAACCAACTTGGAGGATCTGGACTTCACCGATGATGACATGTGTCTGATTTCCCACAAACTGGAAGATATGCAAGCGAAAAGCAACAAGTTGGCAGAAGAAGCATCAAAGATAGGACATCCTTCAGGTGAACATAAAGAAAACAGAGGTGATGAAGATTCCTGGCCAACACCACCAACAGCAACAACAACAACAACAGACAACAATCAGCCAGCATGAATGGAAGGAACCTGGAAGAAACTACCTCCTCTACCACCTAGCTGGGAAGCATCGTTTCAACTACAAGCGGAACTGACGAGGATATCAAAGCAAGAATCGGAAAAGCAAGACAAGCTTTCACTACTCTCAAGTCTGTGTGGAGGTCAACAGCACTACTCAGCATCAAAATTAACATCCGGATTTTCAACTCCAATGTGAAGTCAGTCAGTGCTACTCACTACGCGGATCAGAGACTTGCACTGCGCATCACAAAGAGCATCTCAAACAAACTACAGACCTTCATTAACAGTTGTCTTCGCTCAATACTTCGCTCAAGATCAGATGACCAGAAAAGATCAGCAACAGAGATCTGTGACAGCGAACCAACCGAGCAGGAACCGATTGTGAAACAAATAGGCAGGAAGAAATGGAGATGGATTGGCTGGCCATACTCTGAGGAAACCAACGATCAAGCGACATTACTAGACAAGCAATCGCTCGAGTGGAACCCGGAAGGGAAGCGGCGAGTTGGTCGTCAGTGTGAAGGTGGGGTGACTTGGAGGAGGTGATGTGAAGAGGAGATGAAAGCGTGTGGGCAGACATGGAGCCAGGTGAAGACTCTAGCAGAGAAGCGAACGCAATGGAGCTGCACGGCTGAAGCCGTATGTTCCTCTAGGAATTAAAGGAAACAATAATAATAAGCCACAAAGAATGGATGCATCTGCGACAGCTATTGATAACGATTTTAAACCTTGTCACCAGTTGTCTCCAGCCTCCATTGGTTTTAACCATCCTGAGGATCTCAACAAGACAGCCAGCCATTCTACTTCGCTCTATGTGGTTTAAACTAACTGTTGTGGATCACATCGACTGATGAGGCCATGTTTTGGTTTGACCACCACTGACTTTTTTCCAACCTAACCCTATTTCAGCTAACATTGCCCATTGTCGAGAAAGGCGATGGCTACGCTTGCATGCGCAACACATGTCCTAACCACCCACTCAATCGATGTAAATTTACATCCTCGTCGATCGACTTCCCCTCCCACCTACCTAGCACTCGATCGACGCCTAACCTCAGTATTGCTTACCCTACTATACTACTTCACACGGGAGATAAAACGCAGACACCTGTGTTCAAAGACAGCTAGCCAACCCGCCTTGTTATGTCTTCCACTCTCAACGACTATGTCTCACTGGGAGCCATAAGGGAGGACAGAGCGAAGTGTTGCTGAGCAGTACACAGGCTCTTTGGTCGATAGCCAGCCGGATATCACGTCTACTAAGCCAGAGACGGTGTAAACTGGCATATGCGAAACAAGCCTTCTGTATCCGTGCTGAGATTTCGTCGGCAATCAATCCGTTGGCAGTAGCTGATGCAACTACCTAAATAAGTGAAGTGGTCAACATGCTCTGCTCTACCACTTCATTCCCTATTTCTAAGCTAGGAGTCAATGTAGTCCAGTTCTGCAGCAACATCTTACATTTGACAACAGGAGAGAATCGCATGCTGAACTTCCGAAGATTGCTTCCTGATGAAGGTGTTCAGAAGACTCTGCTCTATTTTGTCAGCGTCTTTATCTAGAAGGACTATATCATCTGGATACTCTACGTCAACGAGATTATTCCCTGCTGGTAACAAGTCCATCCCTGAGTCGCCCCTTTGTCATTTTTAAATGACGTTTGATATGAATCTCTGCATAAGTAGTTCATATGTATATATACTTTAGGCTGATATACTATTCCAGAATTAAGACTTTGATGTCGACGTGTTGAAGACATTCTAGTCAACAGTGTTCTCAATACAGTTCTATAATTTCTTATAGTATACTGTTATTAGAGGGTTTGAGGCAATCAAGAGGAAGCCTTTGCTTTACCTAGATTTCGTGCTTGTTGGTACTCTCACCAGTCAGTCAGTCAGCCTGTAAGGCATGTATCAGCAATCACCTTGAAAGAACTCATTTCCCTTGAGATTCTAACCCTTGTCACCTAGTGAGTACTCTGTAGTCAGAGACGTTACCACTTAGGAGCTATACGGGCACATGCGATTAACCTCCTGTAGGACAATCTATTGTTTACTTTGATTGGACACTGACTAGTGTCATGTGCATGTAGTCCTTTGTTTAACACTTAGTCTAGGTGTCATGTATGAATTCCTGCCCAATCAATTACCTCCAACCAACCATCTATTAGTAACAATAATTCTGAGTGCACCATGATGGTGCGAGAGGTACCTGGTATCGAGGTTACAGTACAAAAACTTGACTGACAATATAATTCAATCTGCGACAAACAGAAGGATACGATGCATAACACCAAGTTAGAGTCGAACTACAGTTAACATGCTGTTTTGGAACAATTACATTCGATTACATTCAAGTATTGGTTTGTAGGGGTTTGATTTTATTGGTTACAGGATTTCATCATGAGCTAGTATTGGTTAGAGAACCATTGGAAAACCTGCAGGGAGCACTGGACAGCCAACCGTTTCATCAGTTTAGTTTGGGACTCTTCACCAGTACAAACGCACCCACCAATAGGGTTCGAACCCAGGACCTTCTGGTTACAAGGCCACCGAGCTCGTAGACCACCATTAAGCCACTGGGACCCGATCCAATGGCCAGCCAGTCCATGAATTCTAACTTCTGCCAGCCAATTCACGACATAGCGCGACTGGCACTAGCCAATGTCATCCATCCATGGCGAGTATTCGTCCTCACACCCGACACCTGCTACACCCTACTGGTCACGACTTCTCACTAGAACCCACCCAGGTAACTATCCTATCTGAATAGGGCCAGTTGCCAGTGAGCATCTCATCGATATTCAAGTCTTGGTTTGTAGGGATTTGATTGATTGGTTACAGGATTTCATCATGAGCTGACGACATTGGTTAGAGAGAACCATTGACATTTTGTGAGGTGTCTCTCTCTCTTTGTTTTCTTCTATGAGTTATGACGGTTGCACACTTGTCGTATATATCCTACAATTCACTTACTTACTGACCGCCAGTCTAGGTTACTAGTTTTAGGTTTTAGTTTTTTTTCTCTAATATTTCCTGTCTCTTATTGATGAATTGCTGGCTGGATTCAACATAGAACTTGGCACCGAAGTGCAACAGTTCGAGTTGCCACTTTCCAAATACCACACAAAGGTAAACAAGAAGATGAGTGATGAAGAGAATCAATAGAGTAGTTTTGACAAGTATAAGAGTGAAACAGAATGAGTAATGGTAGAAAGGAATATGAAAGATTACAGAGACTGAATACATCTGCGTAAGCCATTGACAACGATTTTGAGCCATGTCACCTATTGTCTACACCTATTGATTCTTAGAGTCCCGAGGGTGGGCCCCAACCCGGAAGTCTGCATCTCCCTACCTACCTGAATCAGTTCAACTGTCAGGGATTTCATGGATTGATGAGGCCATGTTTTTGTTTGGCCACCACTTACTCTTTTCCAACCAACCTGCACCTACATCAGCTAGTAATGCCCGTCAGTCGGGGGAGGCGATGCTTATTGATGAATTAATTGATCGATCGCTTATCTATTCTTTCTTACTTAATCAATTATTATGTTTGTGTGTATTTGTACCTGTGTTTCAATTTTTTTTTATTAAGGTATTAATGCTCACATTACAAAATGATCCACCGGATATTGATAGTGTAGCTACAGTGAATAATCAGTATTTAAATTATGGACATAAATTTCGTAAATTCACTAAAGCTTGCCTTATGAAAGATCCAGGTCAACGATTATCTGCCAGGGAATTGCTTAGTCATACGTATATAAAATCAAAAGCAAAGGTAGGTACACACTCTGTTGTATAATGTGTTCATTCAGTCTTTTATTTTCTTTTTTGAAAAAATGTTTTTTTTTAATTCATGAAAAATTCCCATTGTAACAAAAAAAATTTATTATCAATGAAGCTGTACAATCGTATATGCATTATGGTTTTTTGTTTTTTTAAAAAAGAAATTATATCCGTTGAGGGAATTGAATCAGAGGTATGATAGCATAAAATAGTGATAATAATAATAGTATGAAATGCCATCGAAATATTTGTGATTATAATCATATTTAAATGTCAAGTGCGTGGTTATGACGCTCACCGACCATGCACATGGTCCGAGGTTTTATCCATGGCCGACGCACACCTGATATCAATGGTCGGCATGCTAAATTTGGTCTACACATATCACATGCTGAAATTTCCATATTTGTATCCAAAATACTATGTGGAATCAAGCTATAATGAAAAGAAATTCAAAGGGTGTATAGAACTTGTAAGGGCTGTGAAATTTTTGGGATTAGTAGGCGAATAGAATTGACAAGTGGAACGAGTGAAATAATACCAGGGACAGTTCGAAGTGAGAATAGTAATAGTAACAATTGACACTGTAATAAAGGAAGAGTATTTATTGTTATTTCCTTGAGTTCCTAGAGGAACATACAGCTTCAGCCGCACGTCTCCATTGCGTTCGCTTCTCTGCCAAACTTTTCACCTGGCTCCACGTCTGCCCATATACCTTCATCTCCTTTCACATGACCTTCTCCATGTCACCCCACGCTCGCACTGACGGCCAACTCGCCGCTTCTCATTTGGGTTCCATCCGAGTGATGGCCTGCATTGCGTGTGATGTCACTTGATGGTTTGTTTTCTCAGAATATGGACAATCCACCTCCATTTCTTCCTGCTTATTTGTTTTCCAATCGGTTCCTGCTGGGTTGGTTCGCTCATTGCCAGATATCCCTGTTGCTAGTCTTTTCTGGCCAGCCATCTGATCTTGAGCGAAGACAGCTGTTGATGAAGGTCTGTAGTTTGTTTCAGGTGCTCTTCATGACGCGCAGTGCAAGTCTCTGATCCGTATAGTGAGTAGCACTGACTTCACATTGGAGTTGAAAATCCGGATCATATTTTTCATTCTGAGCAGTGAGTGCTGTTGACCTCCACACAGACATGAGAGTATACAAACTGAATAAACAAAACGAAAAAAAAGAAATTGGTAAAGCCAAAATGTGTGATTGATTAGTCGGTTAAGTCATCCTCAGAAATTGAGGAAAATAAAAATATCACTGTGCTGCTTGCTAGCGAGCATAATAACATACCAAAAAAAGAGAGAGTCATATGACTGCCCTTAAAGTGATTAGTACAATATAATAATAATAACTTGCTTTATTCCAAAACAGTATTTGTGATACAGAATGGAATTCTCAACATTTTTACTACAGTATTGCATCCAGTTAGTACATTATCAATGAATAAAATTCTACATAGATTAAAGAAATCTCAGTTCATTATGACAACAACATATTGGCGTGTCGGTAGCAAAGCCAAAGTTGAACAGTGTTTGAAAGTGTTAGAAAAGAAGTTGCTATCATATTTACTGGCATGAGCGGAAGAAAGAAACAAAGCAGCGCATATTGGAAAAAAAGAAAAAATAAGAGAGAAGAGGAAAAGAAAGAAAGAAAATGTTATACCTATAAATGATATGAGTTAGAAACATGAGATCCAGTTGTTCTACTGACTATTTAATGAGTTATAGGTGTCACGCCTAATGCTTTCTTTATCGCACAGAACACGAGCTAAGTAGGGTATGGTTGAGTTTTTGTACTCGCTAGTGCGAGCACATAGTTTTCTATATAGGCTTCTGGTTTTGCCTGATGAGATACAATGGGAGAGTTGTGAATGAAGAGGGTGGTGTGAGTTAGATAAAATGGATTTGGCCGATTTTTCACATGAGTCCATGTGCCTGTCGGCCAGAATATTAACAAGCTGGTTAAGTGGCACGTTGCTTACCCTGCTGACAACATTTAACATCCTGCGTAATACGTTGTAGTCTTTCTACAGTAGCCCGGGAAAAACTAAGGGGGAACAATAGGGAATAACAGGCAGAATGCGAGAGTTAACGAACTGTAGGAGTAAGGGTTGGGTTATACCAGAATTTCTTAACTTCTTGATGTAGAAGGTAAGACGGAATATTTCCTTAGAAATCGTCAAGATATGAGACGACCAGGAAAGATCAGCAGATACAATGACACCTAGGTATTTAATTTCTGACTTGGTTTCTATTTCAGTGCCATCTATGTTGCACACCTCGTGAGAGCCAACCAGTTTGTTTAAGTCGGATTTTTGTCTAAAGATGGAATTGACTGTTTGGCATTTGGAGGGGTTTATGGTAAGACCGTTTTCCTTGGACCACTGGCTGATTTCTGACAGAAAGCCATTTAGTTTAGAGCAGTCACTTTGACATTTGACAGGCAAATATACTATCAGGTCGTCAGATCTACAGATCTCTGCTAAACAAAAACTGAACTATCTTCAATTCTTTAATATCCTCCTATATGTGTGTATTGGTTAACTAACTAAGTTTCGAAGTTTATACAGCTTACTGCTTATAATCATATCGAATAAAAAAAATCAATATTGAGATTACACAATTCATCACAGTGTTCAAGTTTTACACATATGTATATGTAATAATAATAATAACAATAATAATAATAATAATAATATAGAAGTCATAGCCAATTCGATTGTCTGATACCTTTAATGTTTATCATGTACTGACCTAAATTACTAATCTCCGGCTTGTTTTGGTGTGTATGTGTGTGTGGGTATGGTTGTTCTCACATTCAAATGATTAAACTCCATCAATAGAAACACCGCTCTATTTTTTTTCACTTGCACTTCCGGAAATACTCTTCCAAATGAGGTGATGAATTGAGACGAGATTACTCAATTTATGCAGAATCCGACTGTTTTTCACAGATTGTTCAAAACTCAATAGTTTTCAATAGTCGCTTTAGCTCCTATTAGTTTCTGATGAAATTATCCTTGACACTTTAATAGTATTGTGGCGACAGAAGACAAGGCCAGCCAGGCAATAGATCGTTTATTGAGAAAATCAAGAGATATTTATAGATTTTTATGTACATTATTATTATCTTTACTTTGATTTGTAAGGGTTAGTTTTGTTTTTACGAGTTGATCATGGATTGATATCAGCTAGAGAACCATTGAAAATCAGCCACACGGAGTACTGGACAGCTGTTTCATCCCACTAGTTTGGGAATCATCATCAGTATGCACCCACCATGGGGGATTCGGACCCACGACCTGCCGGCTACAAGGCACGCTCGTATACCATTCAGCCACTGGGACCCGATTCAATGGCCAGCTGATGAATTCTAACTTCTACTGATTCGTGATTTAGCGCGACCCCAACCAATGTCGTCGGTGGAACATCCGTACGGGGTCGCGCTAAATCACGAATCAGTAGAAGTTAGAATTCATCAGCTGGCCATTGAATCGGGTCCCAGTGGCTAATTGGTATACGAGCTTGCCTTGTAACCGGAAGGCGCAGGGTTCGAACCTCCTGTGGTGGTTGCGTACTGGTGGTAATTCCCAAACTAGTGGGATGAAACAACTGTTCAGTACTCCCTGGTTTTCAATGGTTCTCTAACTGATATCAATCCGTGATCAACTCGTAAAACATTATTATTAGCGTTATTTTTAGCAGAGAAACAGCGTCTTCTTATTGGTTGTTTTCTTGCTGAAGGTTATTCTGCCATCTCTTTGTTGCGGTTTCATAGACAGTCTGGTGATATATCTGCTAATCGTATCCGCCCACTCTAAGAGTCTGCTGTGATTGGTTGTTGAGTTCTTCGAGGTTAGGCTTTGTTCTTGTTTTTTTTTCTTTTCATGACTCCAATTCAGGAGGTAAACATTGACGTGAATTGTTGTCTACAATTTTGTCTTGCAGACAGCTCTTACCACAGTATTACAGACTGAAAGTACTAAATGATATCATTCACAGTGAATATAAACTATTTATCTTCTAAAAGATGTATATCAAAATCACCAAACTAGATGGTTCTATTTGTCTGTTTGATTTTGACATAGAACTCTGCACATATGTGCGGCAGTTCAAGTCGCCACACTCCCTCCTTGTAGCACACAAAACAAGAGAAGAAAGTAGGAGAAGTGCATACTAGACACAATAAATAGAGGTGTGAGACAAAGGAATAGTAGTAACGAAGAACAATATAGTTTCATTGGAAATCATAAGTCACCAGGAGTGGATGCATCTGCGCCAGCCATTGATAACGAGGATCTTGAGCCATATCACCTATTGTCTCCAGCTATCATTGTTGTTAACCGTCCCTAGGACCTGAACCAAGAAGCCAGTCTACACCTTCCTACGTGGCTTAGACTAACTGTTGTAGATTTCATTGACTGGTGCCATGTTTTGGTTTGACCGCCGCTAGCTCTTTTCCAGCCTGGCCCTATATCAGCTAACATTGCCCATTGTCGAGGAAGGCGATGACTAGGCATTGATGTGTAACACATGTCCTAATCATCTCAATCGGTGTAATTTCACAGCCTCGTCAATTGATTTCCACTGCTTACCCAGCACTCGACACCTAACCTCAATATTGCTCACCTTATTATACCACTTCACGTGGGAGATAGAACGCAGACACCTATGATCGAAGACAGCTAATCTTTTCATGTCTTCCACTCTCAATGGCCATGTCTCACAGCCATAAAGGAGGACGAATCGGCAAGAAGCCTTGAATACCTATGTTTCGTGCTAGTTGGCTCTGGCCTTATCTGACTGATAGAATTCAGTCTTCACCAAATAAAGGTTTAGACTCATGACACTAGTCTTGTAGGAGGTGATCAATCGCATACCTGAATAGTTCACTGGGTGATATGGGTTGACATATCAAAAGAAGGCATATGATTGTTCCTTCAAGATGAATGTGAGAAACCTAGGTAGGTGTAAGGTAGCGCTTCCTC